TTACATAATGCTTACCTTTTATTATACTGCTGAATCAGATCAAATGGATTTAATACTATAAAACTTGAAGAGACTGTAGGTTATCTGTAGGTTGCATAGTATTTGCAGTCATTACGTTCCTGTGTATATTGAGTGAATGACGGGTGGTTGGGCAGATATTGTGTTGCGGTAGGTGGTATGCCATACGGAACCGTTGTCCACTGAAACTGCCTATTCACGCACCAGTGGGGCTCGACAGCCTTAGTCAACGGGTTGGTGCGTATGGTTGGGTTGCGGAGAGATTGTGAGATTGTGGTTAGGTCTCAGCAGCAGGAGGGACGTAGAGGTCAGTAAGCAAGGCTGAGTTGAGTGGGGGACGGAGGGGGGTGATTTTGGGACGCAAGAGTCACTGTCTTCATGTTTTATCATTTACGCCTGTGTTATGGAAATCATCATTATGAACAGCAGCTACGCTAATTATTTTCCCTTTGCTTTTCTGCTGTTATCTCGGGACGCGAGTCCCGAGAAAATGGCGTTCGTCAGCTCCAGTTTGTATCCAGCCTCTCACGGAGACTTCAGATGCTCCAATCACAAAGCCTGTGAAGTGACGACTCAGCACGGGCGATATGGACTCTCTATGGTGGACGGCACTGATCCTCAACAACTCGTCTTAAGACCGGCGTGCATACTTGGACTTCCAAAAAATACTCTAAATGTTCCGATCCAATCTGACTTGTAATGCTGCCCGAATCATGCACTGTTCCTTCGTTGGTCAGAGGAGAACTGGCCCCCCGACTGAGTCTGGTTTCTCCCAAGGTTTTTTTCTCCATTCTGTCACCTGATGGAGTTTTGGTTCCTTGCCACTGTTGGCTTGGCTTTTGATTTGCTTAGTTGGGGACATTTAATATTCAATAATATTATTGATCTGCCTTACTTAAGGTGGACGTTGACGCAATTTCTTTTAGAAACAAACTTTGTTATATTGTTTTCATGTTATCACTGTGAAGCGCTTTGATACAATCTGTATTGTAAAAAGCGCTATATAAATAAAGGTGACTTGACTTGACTTGACTTAATGACGGCAGGTTCCAGTGTGGGCTAATACACAATCCTCTATATATCTTTATGTGTGTATTTGGGTGTAATTGAGTGGCAGTTTGCAGGTGATGAGGTTGTCTGGGTAGAAATACACAAATGAGTTTAGAGTCACACAATGTCTCTTCTATTTGTTTAAGTAAAAGCCATTAGTCTATGAAGGCCAAAAGTAGCTATTGTGAATGGACAGAGTGTGAACCTTTCACAATGCTAAAAGGATGAAAAAGCGATGAAGTCATAGAATGTTTATGCATAAACCCAAGTAATAATTTAGATCTCTAACAATATGGATCCTAAATTCAATATCTCTGTCACTTAATGGAAAAGATGAGAGAAGTATTACACACACTTAACATACAGTGCGTTTTTTAAAAGAACATGATTGGTAGGAAACCAGCTAAAATGTATCGACATTTAAGAAGGATATCAACCTGTTGAGAGTGTGTTGACAGACTGTGTTTAGTTGAATGGCTGAGCTCCAGATCAACAATGAAACGGTTACAGATACAAGAAAAAGGCTAAACTTGAAGTAAAAGAACCATTTTAGCATAAACGGGTTTTTCCCCTTTTAGTTGAATAGAAAAATACTGCTATTTGTAAACATTTAGCCTACCTGCATAGATTCAACATATTCCTCCTCAGCATATTTAAAGTAATCTTGGCTTTTTAGAAGATGATCATATGCATTTGCACCATGTACTCCATTACTGACACTTTGCTTCAATAATAAAAAAATGCTTTTCTAGTTGAATAATTAAATAGCATTAGGTTTTTTAATGCATTGAGGAGAGAAACAGTCCAAATTGTTTAAATATCTAAAAAGATGTTGTACATTTAAGTAGATGTTCCCGCTCTGAATGATGTCACATGCTGTTTGTCCTTCTCAACAGGATTCTGGATGGAGTGGCTCTTGATGTTCTCCTAGAATCGCCGACTGAATTAGCAGAGCCGGGTTAAGATGATCAGCACAGTGGCCACAAGACCGCAACTCCTTATTTTTCAGAAACCAAACAGCACTTTACATTTGATGAAGCCCATTCCATTCTCTCTCCCACTTCACTTCCTGACCAATCTACACTCTAAAGGTTCCAAACGTTGTTGTTGTTTTTTTCTTTGCAGCGATGCCACTAAAGATCCATTTTGAGGTTCCCCAACCTTTCACGGAACAGCTCTTAAAGAGGCCATATTATGCCCTTTCACAAAGTCTTACTTTTGTTTTTGGGGTCTAATAGAATAGGTTTTCATGCTTAAATGTTCAAAAACACATTGTTCTTTGTCAGTGTCTATTTACACTAAGTGCAAACAGCGATAGAATTTATTTACACTAAGAGCAAATAGCAGTCTTTCTTTGTACTATAAGTGTAAATAGTAGTTAGATGTTATTTATATTTAGTGCAAATAGTGGCAGATACTATTTGCACCTAAGTGTATAAAACTACAATAATAACAACAGGTTCCAATTTATTTTGAGTCCACTTTAGACATTCTACTAACTAAGTAACTTTGCAACTACATGTCAACTAACTCTCATTAGAGTATTAGTAGACTGTAGTAAACTTTCAGTAGACTGTTAGGTTATGGTTAGGTGTCGGGGTTCGGGTTAGTAGAATGAGTTAACTTGTGACGCAGCGCCTGAAAATAGGCTACCTTCCGTCAACACAACGGAACTATTTTCAGGCGCTGCGTCATATCATTACGCCTGCTGCTCTCATGGTAAGGCAGTAAAGTTTCTTGATTATTACGCAGGAATGAGAGTATAGTTCCTAGCCATATCAGCCTAGAAAAGCGCAACTTTACATTTTCCGTCGGTCTTAGTGCACGATGTAACTACAGAAGAGTCAAGTTTTAAATAGGAAAAATATCGAAACTCTTTGGTCATTTTTTTTATTTAGAAATGCTAATGGTCTTGTCCACTTCAATGATTTATGCTAAGCTATGCTAAAAGTGGTACCGCCAGAACCGGAGATCGGCTGAATGGATTCAAAAACGGTAAAACTCAACAGTTTAACTCTGGGGGAGTTGTAAAATGAGCCTATTTCCAAAAAAAAGTAAAGTATCCCTTTAATGTTCTTCATGGAGCCATAAATACCAATAAAGAACCTTTCTTTTTATGAGTGAAACTACTGTCCTATCTAAACAAATAACAATAATGAAGAGAAAGAAAATTGTGGATGGACCAAAAAAGGTTCTGGTAGCACAACAGTGGCATTTGTTGCATGCATTTAGGTTTTACCTCTGTGTACGCCTTCAGACTGCTATAAGATGTCAATTGCTCTACTATTTAGACTGCAACTTAAATGATTTCCAAGTTATGTTATATCCTGTCTTGGTGTTTGTGCTTAGCTGACATCAACATGCATCCGTGCTGCTCAATAAACAAATGACAGGAAACTCCCTCCAATTGAATGGGAATATCATTTCTAATTTATCTCAACATCTTGTCTAATGACAATCTTCTGATTTGCAATAAAGACAAATTTGCTTCTTGGACCTTAGTGCTTTTTGAAAATCCCACACAAAAGAATCCTGGTCAGATTGTATGGTATCTTAAAATAATAATATTATGTAAGAATTGCCTAACAGTGCTATTTTCACCACTTTTGCCATTATGGCGCGATGCCATTATGCTATCAAAAAGAAAAAAAGAATGCATCAGCTAACAGCATAAAAGCATTTCAATAACTCTTGAGCATTCAACATCTTGCTCATGTGGCCAGGCTGATACACCACACACTGACATTATACTCAGATCCTGATAACAGCTACATGACATTAAGCCATTCCACAAAGAATGGGAGCCTTTGTGTGTTTCAGTAACACATGTGTTAATAATGACAATGAAAAGGTATAATTGCATTCCCTTGTTTAATGTAGATGCCTTTCTGGCCTTGTCAACGCATCAATGGCTTTGAATTCAATCACAACATTTATATCCAAGTGGAATTTATTTTCGAGGATATCATAACACTCTTTTCAACCAAACAATTAATTATTATTCACCCATTAAAATATTACATTAAAACTATTTGAAGTAAACATTCTGATTATAAAACATCAGTGGCTAATGTTCTTAGTTAATGCGATAAAAAAAACACTCACAGCAGTGGTTCAGAGACTTAAAGTTGTATCGCATATTGAAATCAAAAAGTCAAAAAATGTAAAATTCTGTCATAACGACATGATCATTCCTTTCAGGAAGTGCATGAAACTAGAAGGAAAAGTTTCCTCTGTATTTGAGTAAGGAAGTATCTTAAATGTCAAGATTCCATGATTTTGTATGGTATTGTTAGTATAGTTTTGTTTATAGCAGTGTCAACTCTGTTACCACTAACCCTGCATTTTCATTAGGTATCCCTAAGTTTATAAACAGAAATATTACTCAAAAGTGGCACATGCAATTTATTAAAATTTCCCACTTTATTTAAAGTTTCTTTAACTACTGTGTACTAACATTTAAATTAATAATTTGATACAATGCACATAAAGGCAACATGTTTTTACATTGTAGGTCTAAAAATGACCTACATGTAATTACAGCTGTAGCCTAATAAGTACACTGTTGACCCTTCCCCTTCCCCTACACCATAACCCTCCCTTAAACCTACCCATACTACCAAACCTGTCCCTAACCTTACCCGTATCCCACCTCAATAGCAGCACAAGTGTTTTGCAATTCAACATGAGCACAATAGTATACATTGTAACTAACAATTATTTTTGTATGCAAGTAAATAGTGGTTAATGACACCTAATATAAGGTGTGACTGAGAATTTTATAGAAATGTGTTTAAAAAACAAAACAAAACAAAAAAATTCAGCAAATGGCATAACCCATATAGACACGATTTCTGCACATTCATTCAAGCTTGGTATGTCGATTCTTGTCGAAACTGACGTCATTTCTCCTGCTGAGGGTGTCGGATAAAGAAGCTGCTTAATTCACTCCAATGTGGCTCTTCAACGTAACATGAACTAGCGCGCGGTGGGCATGTGTCTCGCACACACACATACACACTGAGAGAAGCAGCAGCAACAGCAGCAGGTAAGAACACAGCTCTCTTATTTATAGTCATTTGTATTATTATTATTATTATTATGTTGTATTATGTATTGTGTATTATTGTGTTTTTTGCATGCGATGTCAATGATGAGTAGGGACACACGATTAGGGTGTTTACTATGTGAGAATGAACTTGCTAGTGATTGCAAGTCTTTGCGGAAGGCAGTAGGCAGTAAAATAAATAGGTGATAAACTGCATTACTTAATCGACACACACATTCATGCGAGTTTGACAAGTAATAGAGGATATAAAGTGGATTGTGGAACGTTGCGTTACCGACGCGCGCGCGAGACAAGTTGGACTAAAGTGTAATCTATTAACACTTACTTCATAGCAGGCTACTCCATTATAATAACGCCATTTAAACGAGATTATTCGCGTTAAACGAGAAAAGTTTGGTTTTCTTGTTGCATGCTAAAATAATGTATACAGTACAAGGGACAGTTAGCCCGTTTCATGTGTCGTTTAACTTGTGGGTCTTCAAATCAAATAATGTTTCAGGCACAAGCTGTGTATTGTCTTGTATAACGCAAGTAAGATACATTAGGCTACTAACCGTGCTGAAAGGGCTCGGTTGGTTCTTGTAGTGAAGTGATATAGATGTGAGAGGAGCTGTCCACGATCTGTGGTGCTGAACCACGCGCACACTAGGCTACTGGAGCACTTTGCTGCCTGATATATTCCTACCTACTAGTCTCTTTTGTTTATTTGATCATTTAAAGGTTGAGTAGCTATAATGCATAAAACACACCATTAATGATATTGGTAATGTGATGACGAAATATGACCGCAGGGTACGAATTATAGGGCGCGGGAATCGGCTTGAACACCGTAAAGAAATCCAAAACAAAAGGTTGGAGGGGGTCTTAAAATTGCATAGTCTTCCTGAGGTTTATTACAAAGTTACATGACAAGTTAGTCAGAGCGTCTAAAAAGATCCTGGCGTGGAGAAATCGCATTCGCCTGGTCTGGAAGCCATCCACACGTAACCTGTTTTGGCACAAATCGGCAGTCGAATTAAAAAAAAAAACGCAAGGTCTCGAGGCGCGTTTTTATTTTATTTTATTTTTTTACTTAAGCGTCGCGTTTAGAACGCCACGTCATGCGCAAGATGATGCAAAATAATCTAGCTCATGTTTACATAAATAAATAAATAAATAAATAAATAAATAAATAAATAAAATAGAAAAGCAGCGCAGAGGAATGCAAAAACGCATTCTGTGTGCACGGTCCCTTCGTATTTATGGCAATGGTATTCCCTATACCCCTAAACCAAACCCTATCCATAACTTATCCCTAAAATCAAGGGGAATGATGTGAGTAACACTGATGTAGAAGCACCTAACCCTGACTGAAAGCCTAAACTTGACATAAACTGTAAACCTATCCCTCAAATCTAATTTGTTGATTGGAGACAAAGATGTTGATCCAGGGGCATGTTATTCACCCAGTTGCAGTAGTGATTTTAAAGGGTTAGTTCACCCAAAAATGAAAATGACCCAATGATTTACTCACCCTCAACAAACAAATAGAGCTGGGCAACAAACTCAAGCTTCTCTTTACATCGAAATCCTCCGACATTTCTCTTTAAAATTTCTCGTTATAATTCGTGACTGGTGTTTTGTTTTGCTCTATCATCTGTGCTTTCGCGTTCGTCGATACATCATGCGTCTGGTCAGGGGTTACTCTTTCTCTTCGCTTACAGTTTTTCAATTGAGACTTTCACTTATTTACCTTGTATTCCCTATATTCAATGTAAGTCGATATTCACTGGATGTTAAAAGTAAATCATTAGAATGTACATCCTGACATTTCTTTCCCTCACATGCTTACTTCTTGCTTAGGAGTCTGTTGTGAAGAGGCTGTTAACTGAAGATCTCATCTGGGATTTCCCTGTTGTAATACTAATGGACATCTCTGATTTACAACACCCCATTTGATCCCTTTATATCTGAACCATTCCCAGCAGCCCGCTCTCCTCTAAAGCGAATCAGATATAGAGATGTCTCTCCGTAAAGAGCTTTAAGTCGAACTGACAGATTCTTTTTTTTTTTGGTGACATTTCACATCTTTTGCTTTACGAAGAAACAACACAAGGTCACATTAAAAGGTAGACTCCCTGAATGGGAGAGTCCTGCTTCAATCAAACTGAGGCTTTTAAAGATCGCCCGATTGACAGTGCCATCTCCCATCTCCCGCTGACCCTCCGCACTCAACTTTCTGTCAGGATGAGTGACTCGCAGGAAGCCACGTCCCCAGTGGCAGGCATAGGAGGTCCTGTTGCTTGTGTTTCCAAGGTGGAGCTGCGTGTTTGCTGCAAGTCCCTGTTGGACCGGGACACGCTCAATAAGTCTGACCCCTGCGTCATGCTCATGGTACAGAACCAAGGTCAATGGACTGAAGTGAGTTTTCCTTTTTTTTCTCCTTGATTAGGTCTTTATTGGAATATTTATGTTACAATATTGGTTTTGTTATAATGTATTTCAGTTATAAATACTGGTCAACCAATGTTTTTTTAATGGCCGTGGCCGAGAGAGTAGATTCACCCAAAAATTAAAATTGTATCATGTAATTCCAAACCTGTATGACTTTCTTTCTTCTGTAAAACAAAAATACAGCCATGAAAGGGGGAAAAGATGCAATGAAACCTAACTGTGACTGAGGCTATCAGTCTCAGTGGTTACTGTGATTTTACGGTCAACATATTTTGTTGATTGTGGATCAACTTTCCATTTGAACATTTAGTCCTAACCCTATCCCTAATACCCCTAAACCTGACCCTACCCATAACTTATCCCTAAAATCAGGGGTAAATGATAGAGGATCGACACTGATGTAGAAGCATCTAACCCTGATTATAAGCCTAAACTTGACAAAACTGTAAACTTGTCCCTCAAATCTGATTGGTTGATTGGAATGTTGTTCCAGGATCAACAAATGTTGCTCCAAGGGCATGTTGTACTTCACCCAGTCGCAGGAGTGTTTTTTCTATCAAGTAAAACATGTTCCTGGATGAACATCCTTGTTGATCCTGGAGCAACATTCTAATCAACCAATCAGATTTGAGGAATAGGTTTACAGAATTGAGGCTTACAGCAATGGTAACTCAATGAGCAACTCTCATTTCCCTCAGACTTTAGGGATACGTTATGAGTAGGGTTAGGTTTATTTTTTTAAACAAGAATGTTGTTCCAGGAACATGTCTTACTTGGCAAAATCACTTTTGGCCTTAAAGTCCCCATGAATTCAAAATTGACCATACTTACTTTGTTTGCCTAAATTGATCGTTTTGTGGTGAACAGTTCATCCATGCAAGTCAATCCACACAAAAACATTTTTGGCTTCGTAATCTTTAATCAAAATCTGAAATTTCCCCTCCCCTCTGCATTGGAGGACCTTCCCTGATGACGTAGGTTTGACGGTTTGGGTGTCTGCTTAACATCCATAATCACGCCCCTCCAACTGACAGTAGACAGGCGGAATGAAAACACCTACTTTTCTAGATCCAATCAGGTGCTAGTTGGAAAAAAAGCCACGCCCACTATTTTGCCTCATTTAGTATTCCGTTTCTCTCGGAAATACGTCACAACACTGGAGAAAAGTCGTTTGCAACTTCCGGTTCACGGGGACTTTAAATGCATGGACAAAGTGGCAACAATACAAAGGCAAGCATAAACGGCAGCGTTCAAAAATGAAATAATTTTAGAAAATATATGAAAGAAAGTCATACAGGTTTGGATGAGTAAATAAGGACAGACATATTTTTTTATTGGTTAAACTAACCCTTTTATGATAGGAAATAAGATAAATTGCTGAATTAGAATCCATTTTGTTTTAAAGAAAACACTCACAATTCACCAAAATATTGGAAAACAGGAGATGAGCGCTATTTATTGACAAGGTCAATACTTTGCAAATGACCAATATAGACCGATTAATTGGCCTGGCCAGTAATAAGGCCTCCAAAATGAATAAAAATGCCACAAAACTCATAATATAGTGGCACAATAAAAATGCCCCTGCATTCAGTACAACCTGTGTCTTTTATTTAGAATACATACAAATGTAATTTATGTCTTTGAGTTTGTCAAGAGATTTAAAGCACCGTTTTTGAAGACTGCGCATGTGCGAACGTGCTCTACTATGTAAGAACGAGCCTATGATTGAATCTGGAAATAAACCGAAATTTTGAAAAATTTGAAATATTCCTCAGATTCCATGTCTGTAATTTATATAAAAACATCTAGCATTAATTCGATCTCAAACAGTTTCATTAAAATAAGTTATTACTCCACCACGTGCGTGATGTCATAAACCAACGTGGTTGAATGACCACTTTGCGACAATATGGTTTCGGGAAACAGTCGTGACTAGCTAGTTGATTTCTTCACCGATGCGTCGCACTATGGCAGTGAAGCATCGAGTTACTTCGTTGTACGGAAAAGCGCACCCCTGGGCGAGGACTCCCTAGCATGGATAAGCAATAACCCCCCTTAGGGTAAACAAAACTGAACCAACATGAATGTATGCAGATATAATTAATTCAAAATTTTAAAGTACAACATAATTTGAGTATTTATTCTGATTCAAGAGGAATCAGAATGCCAAATCCTGACCTGACGAGAGGAGGAGCTGGGGATGGAGGAGGGTAATCAGCTCCTGAGAAACGCGATATCTGCTGATAATACTGAAGGAGCTTCTATATGTATACAGTGATAGGCGTCGTATTCCTATAGGTACGTGACTCAGCTGAGAGTCAGCTGATGCGAGCTTGACTAACGTGACCTGCCAGAACTGATGCTACGCTTGATATCTGAAGGCTTTGGGTTAAGAAGTGTTGGATGGGTATAATTTCGCACAATGCCTTCAGTTGACATTCTGAAAGTATAGGGCCTGATTGTGAAGGTTGACTGGGCTGTTCAAAGTGCATGCGAGTGGGGGGAGTGGGCACTTTTTGGAATGAATCTAGGCAGGGAATTGTCACACAGCAGGAAAGGGCGCTTGAAGCAAGGAGAGAGACCACTCTGGTGTTTTTTTCCCATATCAAAGCAGTCACTGTGAGGAAAAAAAAAAATTATCTGGAGCCACAGCAGTGGTTCTGAAGACAGCTCGGCAAAGCTGCGAAAGTGTCTACAGCAATGTGTCAGGCTGAAGGATGAAATCTTAATCCTGGCCCCATTATTCCAACAACTGTGTCACGTTCAACATCACAGGGAACAAAGTGAGAGATGCCATCCTGCTTCAGCTTGCATTTCAAAAGATTCCTTTTAAAGCAGGGACTCATGGAAAATGAAAATGAAAAAGCCATTGAGATGTTGTTGTGGACATTATCACTATGAATCATCACTGGCTTCATTTACCAAGATGTTTTTGACAATCAACATGAGTTGAATTTCTTGAAAATACACAAAAATAAGCCGTGTTACAAGAGGAAAAATGATTTTTCGTCAGCGTGGATAAGACAATCATATCAATAAATACACCATCTTCATACTGTGTGGCAATGATTAAGTCTGACTGCAGCAGCAAGTTGTGATAGTTTTAGATGCATTATTGTAAACATGATTAGCTTTCGTTGTGAAGTGTTTGTAGTGGTTGATGATAGTGCTGGTGAGTCACTGGATGAAAAGCCTCTTAAAGGGATAGTTCACCCCAAAAAATGAAAACATTGTCATCTTTTACTCACTGTCATGTTGTTCCAAACCTGTATGACTTTCTTTGTTCTGTCGAACACCTAAAAGATCTTTATTTTAGCATTTTTTTCCCCATACAGTCAAAGTCAGTGGGGTCCGAAACCACAGTAGACAGTAGCCACAATTGACTTACTGTATTGTATTGCACTTTTTAGACATTCTACTAGCTGAAAGTAACTTTGCATTACATGTCAACTAGCAGTCATTAGAGTATTAGTAGACTGTCTCCTTAATATCTGCTAACACATTATTTTGATGCTCCTCCAACAGACTTTCTACGGACTATAAGTAACTTTGCAAGTACATGTCAACTTATTCTACTAGCTCTAAGTCTACTTATACTCGAATGAGAGTTTGTTGACATGTTAGTTGCAAATTAATGAGTTATTTGACATATTGCAAAGTTAGTAAAATGTATAAAGTGGATTATCGCAATAAAACGTGAGAAAGTGAGTCATATTCATTTATATAGCGCTTTTAACAATGTAGATTGTTCCAAAGCGGCTTTACATTGATAAGTAATAAGGATTTTAATTTTTGGGGAACTATCCCTTTAATGAACAGTGATCAAAGTGTGTTGTGTAAAATATCTGTGAAAAAAGAATGAATGTGAAATATTGAGCTTTGGTTTTGGAGAATCCCAAATTTTTGAATGCATTTTTTCTGTGAGCATAGAAGATCCATATTTGACAACCTTCCTTGTCTCATATCTCAATACAAGTCTGTCAAACTAATGACCGCTTTATAGAATGCTATCAGAATATTTACAGACTGCCGTATTAGAGGTGTCACTGCCATCAATATTCACGCATAGAGAAAATATAGACTCACTCTGAATATCATTTGCATGGTTTTACACTTCAGCCAAAGAGCGGCAGTATTTATGTAATTAATGATTTTGATCTTTTCCCTGACATTAGCTTTTACACATTCTAGATTGCTTTTCACAGGAGCAGAAAAACCTAATATTAGACACAGGCATTTTGCCAAAGTCAGCGCAAAACATATATGCAATGCTGTTTTCCTGCCATCGTCATTAGTCTACATTTTCTGTCTTGAATGTCTGCCAGACGATTTCAGGGATCTTGGCATGCGTGTCTAGGATGTGTCAATATAGTGTCATTTTGCTTACAGGAGACCCAGCTTCACATATTCCACATTCTCAGTCCCATCCTATGCATGTTCCCATGTTATTCCCATTACATTACATCCCATGACTTCTTAAATAAGTGGAACACGTTACATCGATCCATGATCATATTATCAGAATGCCCAGAATATGATAAGTAAAACATTACGCTGTTCTCATGCAAGCAATGAGCGTATGAATTGTTACAACATCACGATTGTTGCTGCTGTACAATTGAATGATCGAAGCAACAGACATGTTCACCATTGTCCTGTTTTGCTAAACGTATCCATTTAAATCATAGCTCGATGAACACATTAGGCAGTTTTGTTGAGATGTCAAGTGGTTTGTAAAAAGCTTACCAAATCTCTGACTGCTATCAGTTTTTGTTATCTTCCAAATGCAGTCCCTTCCCAGCAAAAGACAGATGTTGAAACTGGATTTAAAAATACACTGTTTTTAAAACATTACTTAGGGCACAAAATATGAATTCAGAATGTGTTTATGCACTGCACCGCAAAAAAACTTGAGTTCAAAATTGAGTCAAGAAATTCTCCAGTGTATAACAAAAGTAGATTTT